TTCATCCTCATGCGATTATTATGATGACTAAAATAGTCAATGGTGGGGAAATGGTATCCTATAAAAACTTAATTTTTAGGTAGGATAATTTGGCAAGAAAGGGTTTAAGAGTTTCCATTAAAGTCACTAATGAAAATTCACTCTATCATAAGAAATTCCCATATGCATTTTTTTAATAGCTGATGAGTCCCCAAAGCACAACCACCCAATTGCTAGACAGGGAAAAAAAAGGCAGTCAAAAGATAGGGACATTAAAAGTAGAGAAATGAGATGAAAAACTCTTTACAGTAGAAGGGCAAGTAATAAATGTACAAAGAATAAGAGAATTTTAAAAATCACTATTTGGCAAACTTTATAGCAATAAATTGTTTTAAGCAAGAATCATCAATGTATGCTAAAGGAGTCAAAGTCGAGGTGACAGGATATAATAGTCTTAAAATATCTCCCCACTAATTACAAAGGAAAGAGATATCACCTTTATGATGCAGAAACCTAGCAGACCCCATCTTAATTAATGAGCAAATGAGTATCACCAGTAACAAAGAAGTATAACATGCTTTCTGAAATGTTGCACTGAGAGTAACACATCACATCTGTTGTATTCTGGGAGGAAATGAATAATCTAAATTAAATCATGAGGGAAAATCAAGCAAACCCAAATTGAGGGACATTCAACCGAATAACTGGCCTATGCTCTTCAAAATCATCAGCGTCAAACACAAAGAAAGATTAGGGAACTGATCCATTTTAAAGAAATCTAAAGTGTTCTGTAGTTCCTCAAGTACAGATCCTTTAACTTTAACTTGAGGAACTACAGAACACTTATGAAAGAAATTGAAGAAAACACAAAAAGATGGAAGACCATTCCATGCTCATGGATCAGAAGAATAAACATTGTGGTGCAAAAACAATGAACACTGTTATGCTGAAAAGAAATAAAAAATAAATAAATTAAAAAGAAATGTCTATACTGCCTAAAGCAATCTATACTTTCAATGGCATCCCGAACCAAAATTCCACTGGCATTTTTCAAAGAGCTGGAACAAACAATCCTAAAATTGGTATGGAACCAGAAGAGACCCTGAATTGCTAAGGAAATGTTGAAAAAGAAAAACAAAACTGGGGGCATCACGTTGCCGTATTTCAAGCTTTACTACGAAGCTGAGATCACCAAGACAGCATGGTATGGCATAGAAACAGACACATAGACCAGTGAAACAGAGTAAAGAGCCCAAATATGGACCCTCAACTCTATGGTCAAATAATCTTTGACAAAGCAGGAAAAAACATACAGTGGAAAAAGGACAGTCTCTTCAATAAATGGTGCTGGAAAAATTGGACAGCTATGTATAGAAGAATGAAACTCAACCATTCTCTTACATCATACACAAAGATAAACTCGAAATGGATAAAAGACCTCAACGTGAGGCAGGAATCCATCAGAATCCTAGAGGAGAACATAGGCAGTAATCTCTTTGACGTCAGCCACAGCAACTTCTTTCAAGATATGTCTCCAAAGGCAAAGGAAACAAAAGCAAAAATGAACTTTTGGGACTTCATCAAGATCAAAACCTTCTGTACAGCAAAGGAAACAGTCAACGAAACAAAGAGGCAACCCACGGAATGGGAGAAGAGATTCACAAATGACACTATAGACAAAGGGCTGCCATCCAAGGTCTATGAAGAACTGCTCAAACTCAACACACACAAGACAGATAATCATGTCAAAAAATGGGCAGAAGACATGAACAGACATTTCTCCCAAAAGACATACAAATGGCTAATAGACACATGAAAAAATGTTCATCATCACTAGCCATCAGGGAGATTCAAATCAAAACCACATTGAGATACCACTTTATACCAGTTAGAATAGTCAAAATTAACAAGAGAGTAAACAACAAGTGTTGGAGAGGATGTGGAGAAAGGGGAACCCTCCTACAATGTTGGTAGGAATGCAAGTTGGGGCAGCCACTTTGGAGAACAGTGTGGAGATTCCTCAAGAAATTAAAAATAGAGCTATCCTATGACCCTGCAATTGCACTATTGGGTATTTACCCCAAAGACACAGATGTAGTGAAAAGAAGGAGCATCTGTACCCCAATGTTCATAGCAGCAATGGCCACAGTCGCCAAACTGTGGAAAGAACCAAGATTCCCTTCAACAGATGAATGGATAAAGAAGATATGGTCCATGTATACAATGGAGTATTATGCCTCCATCAGAAAATACCCAACTTTTGTATCAACATGTACAGGACTGTAAGAGGTTATGCTGAGTGAAATATGTCAAGCAGAGAGTGTCAATTGTCATATGGTTTCACTTACTTGTGGAGCATAAGGAATAACATGGAGGACATTGGGAGATAGAGAGGAGAAGTGAGTTGGGGGAAATTGGAGGGGGAGACGAACCGTGAGAGACTATTGGACTCTGAGAAACAAACCGAGGGTTTGGAGGGAAGGTGGGTGGTAGGTTGGGTGAGGCTGGTGGTGGGTATTAGGGAGGGCATATACTGCATGGAGCACTGGGTGTGGTACATAAACAATGAATTCTGGAACACAGAAAAGAAATCAAATCAAATCAAATGAAAAAGAAAAAAAACCCAAATGCTGGCATTGTCTGAAAAAATGTTACAGGTTTATTGTTAATTGTTATAAAGTTAAACTGCTGAAATGTGTTCACTGAAAAAAAAAAAACAACTAAAGAGACATGTTAACTGAAGCCCATACATGATATGGAATTTCTTTTGCTATAAAGATATTATGATGACAAGGAGCAAAATCTGAGTTAAGTTTATAGATTCGTTATTATTATCATATCATTGTCAATTGTCTGCTTTTTATAATTATATCACATAATATCTGCATTATTCTCCTCATGCTGCCATAACAAAATAACATATAGACTCGGGGGGCTTATACAACGGTTCTGGAGGTTAGAGGTCTGAAATCCAGGTGCCAATGCAGTCAGGTTCTGGGAATAGCTCTAGTTCTGGCTTGAAGATGACTACCTTCTGCTTGTGTCCTCATGAGACAGAGAGAGAAAGCAAGATCTCTGGTTTTTCTTCTTATAAGGGCCCTGATGCTATCATGAAAGCTCCACCTTCCGAAACTTACCTAAACCTATTTATCTTCCAAAGGCCCAGTTTCCAAATACTACCACATTTCAGGTTAGAGCTTCAACATAAAAATTTTGGAGGGACACAATTCCGTCCATAGCAATGTCCTTGTCAAAAAACCAAACCAAAACAAAACAAAAAAAAACTTTATATAGACACAGAGATGGAGGCAGGGTTGTGGTGGGGAGGAGACAGAGAGGAAGAGGGAAAAGCAAATATAGTATTTGTGGATTCTGAAAGGTATATAGGGATTCTTTACACTGTTTCAAGTTTTCTTTAAGTCTGAAATTATGTCTAAATAAAAAGTTAAAAAAAAAAAAGCAGACCTCACTATTAACCTCTCTGATTGTACCTCTACATAGGTAGCTGACTATGGCAATCAAAAGTTACTAGAAACTCTAACAGTTCTGCTGGCAAGTACCTAATAATTATCAAGAGAAATCAGATGCTTCAGTGCATTCCAAAAACATCTTCCAAAGGAATATCTATATTGAAGTTATTTTTTATTTTCTTGTTCTTAAACCTTTTTTTCCACATCCATACATTTCTTCCAAAAGGGGAAACAGAGTATAACATCCATTCCTAATTTCATATAATCTGCTATGGTGGTTATTAAAGACTTATTGACTACCACATCTATCTCCCTGCTAATGCTAAAACAGCAAAATAAATGAGCACAAACTCTGCATGTTCTCAGAGAAAAATGTTTCATTTCCCCATTTAAGAAAAAAGATTCTACACTACAGTTTAGAAACGAAGAGAGATGGGAGCTCACGACATCTTATGATCATGTTTTTTTCACTGTCTCTCTTCCTTCTTCTATGCCTTTATCAATGTGTAGTGAATTAACTTAAAGGCTGCTCAGGAAGGCTTGCTGAACTGACCAACCAATGATTCTAGATATTAACACTCAAATATCCCTAATCACATAATACTATTTCATCTTCTTCATAAAAGTCATATTCAGATTGAATTTAAGAAATAACTTCCCTAACCTTTAGAACCAGGGCCTATGATAAAAAAAAAGATTCCTATAAACTAAATTTAAAGGACATTATCTTTTCAGAAATGTAAGCATTATTATAATGACAGTAGATATTAAGGCCTGTGTGCTAAGGCATTTTACACAGTCATATATACCATGTTATCTTCATTCTGTAATACACTGATTATCAAAGTTGTTAAAATGATTTGTTCAAAAATGCCCAATTTATGAGTAAGTGACAGAGCAAGTATTTAAATATATGTGTAAATGTATGTCCTAAACCCATAACCTTGAACTCTTCTTTACTACGGTGTTTCCCAAAGCCTTTTCCACAAACTAAGGAGTATATGTTAAGGTAGGAACATGGTTCCATAGTCAAATAAACTTAGAAATTGTTGTGCAAAGCAAAATCAGGTCTTTCTTTTCCTTCACTAAGAGGTTATCAGTCTTTAATATGTAATTTGAGGGACGCCTGGGTGGCTCAGTTGGTTAAGCAGCTGCCTTCGGCTCAGGTCATGATCCCAGCGTCCTGGGATCGAGTCCCACATCCGGCTCCTTGCTCAGCGGGGAGCCAGCTTCTCCCTCTGCCTCTGCCTACCACTCTGTCTGCCTGTGCTCATGCTCTTTCTCTCTCTCTCTAACAAATAAATAAATAAAATCTTTTAAAAAAAATATGTAATTTGAATCTCAAAGAGGGAGGTAAGTTTATAGCAGCACAGAAATTCTATTATTTTTAGACAGTACCTATCTGGGTGTCCCACAAGTTGTAAAAAGTAGCACTATGCCTTATTATCCAAAAACACAGCAAAGAATCTATTTCTGTTCATTGATGCAAGTGAAAGGCTTGACTGTAGCCAAGGCAACTAAAGCAATGAAGAGAGACAACCTTTAACTTACCGTTGTGCATCCTGGACCATCCATCTCTTTCACAGTCTCTGCCAGAAGATCCAAATAAAGCATCAGCCCTGGGACTTGGGGGGTCGACCTAGAAGAAGAAGGATTGAAAGTCAAAAAGAACCTAAATGCTCTTACAGTCTCATGGCACCAGAAAATCAACTCAAGCACATAGACTGTGGTCATCAGGTTAACAGGATAGTGCCTGTGTGATTCAGGCATGTTCTGAGGACAGAGCTTAGTTGAGTATTTTGCTGTTCATGTTTATTTTTTTATTTTATTTTTTTAAAGATTTTATTTATTTATTTGACAGACAGAGAACACAAGTAGGCAGAGAGACAGGCAGAGAGAGAGGGGGAAGCAGGCTCCCTGCTGAGCAGAGAGCCCGATATGGGGTTTGATCCCAGGACCCTGAGATCATGACCTGAACCGAAGGCAGAGGCTTAACCCACTGAGCCACCCCTTAAAGGACACTATTAAGAGGGTGAAAAGCAAACCATTTAATAAAAATATATATTTGCAAATAATTATCTATAAGGCATTAATATCCAGAATATATAAAGAAGCTTCTACAACCTTGAAAAAAACTTCTCAAAAGTGGGCAAAGAACTTACATACATATTTCTCCAAAAGATATACAAATGACCAATAAGCACAAGAAAAATTTTCAGTATCACTAATCATTAGGGAACTACAAATCAAAATCATAGTGAGAGATACTACTTTATGATGTGAATGTACATACTGCGACTGAACTATACACTAAAATGGCTAAAATGGTAAATTTTTTTTTATATAAGATTTTATTTATTTATTTGACAGAGATCACCAGTAGGCAGAGAGGCAGGCAGAGAGAGACGGGGAAGCAGGCTTCCCACTGAGCAGAGAGCCGGATGTGGGAAGTAGGCTTCCCACAGAGCCAGATGTGGGGCTTGATCCCAGGACCCTGAGATCATGACCTGAGCTGAAGGCAGAGGCTTTAACCCACTGAGCCACCCAGGTGCCCCTAAAATGGTAAATTTTATATTGTGTATATTTTACCACAATTTTAAAAAATTAAATTTCAAAAAAGGAAAGTGAAAAGATCATAGAATGAGAAAAAAATATTTACAAACCATACTTGATAAGGATTTAGAATCCTAAATATTTAAAGCAAACTTGCAACTAAATATCAAAAAGACAAAAAAAAAATTAAAAGTGGACAAAGAACTTGAATAGACATTTCTCCAGAGAAAATATAAAAATGGCTAACAGCACATAAAAAGATGTTTGACATCATTACTTATTAGGGAAATGCAAATCAAAACCATAATGAGAAAAAAAAAAGCCACAATGAGAAACCAATCCACACCCCCTAGGATGGCTATAATAAAAAGAAAACAGAAAGAATAGTAAGTGTTAGTGAGAATGTAGGTAAAGTGAAACCCTCTTACATGGCTGGAGAGAAGGTAAAATGGGACAGGCATTGTGGAAAACAGTTTGACAATTCCTCAACAAGTTAAAAACAGACACACCACATGGCCCAGCAATTCCACTCTTAGGTATTAACTTAGGCATGAAAACAGGTACTCAAGTGGAAACTTGTGTATGAATGTTCATGGAAGGACTATTCATATAACCAAAAGACGAAAACAGCCCAATGTCCACCAACAGATGAATGAATAAACAAAATGTGGTATATATCCATACAATGAAATATTATTCAACCATAAAAAGAGTACTCATACAGGTTATAAAATGAATGAAACTCGAAAACACTGTGCTAAATGAAAAATGCCAGATAGAAAAGTCTACATATTGTATAATTCCACTTAGATGAAAAGGCAGAATAGGAAAATCCATATGGGAAGCAAATTAATGGTTGCCAGGGGCTGAAGAAAGGGAGAAATGGTGAGTAAATGCTTAATGAGTGCAGGGTTCCTGTTTAGGATGATTGAAAAAGTTCGGGAACTAGACTGCAGCGACAGTTACACAACTTGTACTTACTGCCACTGAAATTATACACTTTAAAATGGCTGAAGTGGTACATTTCATGTTATATTTTACTGCAAATAGAAAAAAAAAGTTCCTATTCTGTATCAAGGAAAAAGTAAGTAATTCTGTTTAACTTTTCTGGGATAGTTGTGCCAGTTTGTTTGGGAGCATGATAGTTTTCTTTTTTCTTTTTCTTTTTTTTTTTTTTAAGATTTTGTTTATTTGACAGAGAGAGAGATCACAAGTAGAGAGAGAGAGAGAGGAGGAAGCAGGCTCCCTGCCTAGCAGAGAGCCTGATGTGGGGCTCACAACCCCAAAAGTTGTTTTACTTCTGTAGGCACTTAAATCTTAACATTCATTATTGTTATTATATGTAATTTTATTAAATTACAAGCTTTTGTTAAAGAAATGCTTTTAGGATAAAAATTCTTTACAAAAATTCAAGAAACTATGAGAATTCTAAGGAAGTCCCTTATTAAACATTCTGAAATGTTACAGACCCTTAAGATCACCCAAAGTCTACTTGACTATCACATGAACACAAGCTCTAAGCTTAAGCCATATCAAAAGCAGTCTTCTGTTTGGGAAGATCAGAACTATGCTACCCTAAGTTACTCTCTTCACTTTCAAAGGCCTTCCCAACCTCATCAAATAATGATTTGCTTCAAAGATCCATTATATAAGGTTTATCCAAGGGACATAATATCAAAGAAAACTTAACTCTCCATTATAATTTTTAAAAAGGCTAGAAAAGGGGAGTCTTCCTTTTCATAAAGAAAAGTTGGTCCTCTTTTAAAACCCTACTCTGCCATTTTAGTACTAATGTCAATTACATCTAAGTTCAATTTGTAGAGTTATTACACTGTCCAGTGTAGAGGAAGAAAGGAAATGAATACTTATAGGAGTTAACATGGTATTCATAATGGAACTTGATCTCTGTCGGGTTTAAAGATTGACAAAAGAATGTTCTTTTACTCTAAGTTAATTTTCCGTTTTAGATTGCTAGGCTAACAGTTCAGGAAAGAAAATTATGAATAGAAGCCAGATTTTGAAAGAAGTTTCAGAATAACATTTTAGTGAAAGAACAGATTAGATCGGTTTCAAATGGAAATGTTTAAGAGAACACATACATGTCTAATCACAAATGGAGGTTTATCTGTTTCTTTTTTGAATTCATAGGGTCCCAGATTTAAATGGGCCAGCCGCCGCCTGGTGTCTTCAGATAGCTCACACATGCGTCTTTTTGTGTAGGGAGATGGAGAGTGTGATTTTGAAGAAATGGTAGGCTGTTCGTAGTTTTTTGCATTTATGCAATATTTATTTCTCTCAGGTGACTTGGATTTTTTCTTTTGTGATCTTGATGTTCTGGTTTGCAGTCTGCCGTGTGATTTTTCAACTGGAGCCGTATGGTAAATAAATTTATCCTAAACATTAAAAATAAAAATTAATTTGGGCAGAAGATATATGTAGGGATATTTGTATATCTATAAATTACACATAGAAAAAAACTTTAAAAATTAAAGGCACATACAATCTATCAAACCCAACTAGATTAGTCTTTCTTATCTATGCTAAGTAACTCTTTGTCTAGTAGTTAATAAAGTCCATGGTATTCTTAAGTCTAACAAATACATATTTAACCACTTGAAAAATCTAAGAAACAAGGTCAGAAAAATTAGTTTTCAGTGTACTAAAAAATTAACAAAAACATTGGTTTATCATTTGTAATTAAGTATGCAAGTAATTGGTTATATAATTTAAGAGGTTTTTTGTTTGTTTTTTTAAGAGAGTGTGTGTGTGTGTGAATGTTGGGGGAGGGAAGTGGGAGATGGATGGAATCTTAAGCAGACTCCATGCTGAGCATGGAACTCAATGTGGGTCTCAATCTCACACACCTGAGATCATAATCCCAGAAGAAATCAAGAGTCGGAGGCTTAATTGACTGAGCCACCTGGTGCCCCAAGAGGGCTCTCTTTAGTAATGTCACAAACAGACATGGCTAATTCATTGCTTATGAAATCTTTACGGAGACAACTATTAAAGTAAGTTTCATTTATACTGCTATGATTAAAAACATATATACAATGTGAACATCTGAAAAACAGCTTTATACATATTTTCATGAAATATATTATTTGGATTATATAAGGTGATTAGGATTTTAAGATCTCTTCCAAACTAAAACTTTACAATTCAATGACCAATAGTCATATCATCTTAATTCTGGTTCCATATTTTTATAAAAGTAAAAAGACATAAAAGACACATTTAAACTTTAATGACTAGTACTCTACTAGTAAAACTGGTTAGCAGTCTAAAATTTTTAAAAAGCAAATGTTACATTTCTAAATTTTTTTTTGCGTTATTAGGATTAACATTTTATTTAGTCTCTGCCTTATGGGTGCCTTAAAATTTGGATTACAAGTAAATAATATAAGACCTCTTGATTCATTATCTAGAATTATAATATTTCTAATATTAGAGAAAATGGAAAGGTGAGAAACTTTGTTTCCTAACTTTAATCATTTTAAAAACCCATCCCTCCTAACTCCTTCTTTATTTTCTCAACCCCTCCTTCCCTACTCACTAAGGGTATCTATTCTAAGTAAATATTAAAACATAAATGTGATATAGAAGGGAAGAGAGTCAAACATTTTTTAAAAGAAGATAAACAGGAAAAATATATATTTTCCTAACTGGAAAATAAGTCCATGAATTTCATACAAACCTGCAGCATCAGATTTTTTCCTCATCTCTCCTCTACAGCTGTTGATATGCTCCCGGTCCTTCTCCCACCTTGCTCAATGACTTCAACAAGTAATTCAGAATTTCCTACCTTATCATACTTCATCTATCTCTATGACATCACACTGAGGCACAGAAGCAGGAATGTTAGCACACATAAGGACTTCTGAAGTGTAATAAATGTTCAAGCAGTGAATCTTTCCAAGACCTTGGACTTGGACTTCTATTTCTCAGCTTTCATTGCTTTTTTCCACCTCATCTTAGATTTCATCATTTTGCAGACCCATTGCATTTGAAACTTTGAAAATCCCTTGCTGACCAAAACTACTTTTCCTCATTCTACTTCTTTTATTTTCACTGAATCTGCTACCGGCAGACCTCTTTTTCCCCAGACCTTCATGTATTTTTAGTATCTCTTACCTCCAGACCCAGATAAACCCAATAGCACCCACTTCAGCAATGCTGTGAAGTTCCTCCTTACCTACCTCTTATTATGCCAAACCTAAAATAACTAACCCCATCTTCTTCCTTCATTACAATCTTTGAATGTTGAATACTATAGAGGAAGTTCTAAACTGTGGCATATGTAGTACAGATACATGTTGTCTAACTCAACCAGATCCTTAATGTATCCTGTTACTGCCCAGGAAAACTTAAAATAGTGGCTGTTATATGCTGTTAACAAGATGGCTCCCTTTGGCCAACAGGATAATAGCTTGGGATACATAGAGAGACTTGAAAAGTGCTATTGTCTTTTAATCCTTTTTTTGAAAACCTCCCTGCTTCCATATGAATGAGCCAAAATTAGCCTACTAGATGATGAAAATCTTGTAGCCACCATCCCAGCTAAAATCAAGCAAATTATGAGAAATGTAAAGTCCCTCCCAGACCAAAAACTCAGCCAACTACCAGATACGAATGAAGCCATCCTAGATCATTCAGCCCTGGCCTCGTCATTTCAGACCAAAAGAATCACCCAACCAATCCACAGAACTGTGAAAAATGGTTTTAAGCAACTAAGTTAGTGTCACTTTTTACACAGCAAAAACTACCTGATGCAGCACACAAATTAATACAACTACTATTGATATTGAACTAATAAATACTAAATTCTACCTTTAGTAGGTAAAAAGAATAAGTAGAAAACTAGTTTAATTAAAACTAGTTGAATTTCAGAAAATCACAAAAATATAATTTTTCAATCCATTCAACTGGTGACAGTTGAAAATAATATGCCCAAAGGAATAAAGTTTATAAGTATTTGCAAACTTAAATATTTTTATAGCTTCTTTTACTCATTCTTCTCCTAAAAACCAAAATGGCTTGTCTCATTCTTATTTTTGAAACTGAAAATGCTGCTTTGTAGTCACTAAAATTTTAATTGTAACTAATACTCACTTTTTAAAAAGCAGATTTATCACATTCTTAAATAAGGTCAAATAAGATTAAAATTCTGGCTGTTAACATTTAAAATTTTAATGTGCAAGTATATACTTTGTTGTGCCTACCAGATAATGTTTTCTATCTTGTATTTTAACTATTGTCTTCTCTCCTAATTATCATTTTAAAAGAAATCTTAGTAACAGCCATCAAATTCATTAATTATATGTTATGTGCCAGACACATCACCTATTCTCTAATTTAATCTTTACGGCAGTCTTGTGAGGAAATTGAACCCAGATCCATCTGATTCTGAGGCATATTTGCTTAAACACTGTCTGATGCTAAGACCTATCCTATTTTCTTACATCTGTTCAGTAAAGAACAAATGACAAATACTGAAATAGCAAGTTAAATAAAGAAACGAGTCTTCCCAAAAGTTTACAGAGGAAAATGTTAGTTCCTAAGTCTAATGAGACTACTGATGAGGGCACAATTTTACATTTACAAAAGACTTTCCACCAAGCTGTACACTTAGGATGTCCTTTTCTGTGCATATGCCATAGTTCATACAAAAAAAAAAAAAAAAAAAAAGACTTTTCCATCCACTCACTAGAAGGACATCCCCAAGGAGGAGAAAAAAATTTTATCTGAGTTCAGGTAAAATATTATTAACAATTTACAAATATACACAGTGCATAACTCAAAACAGGTCAGTAACATCTTTGCATTTGGCAAGCATAGTTTGTTAGATCTCTAACAGCTGCATTTCAGTTTGCATTTCAAAGATAATTAACTATAGCCAAACTGGCACACTGTGTATCTTGCTAAACAAAATAAGAATGATCCCCTTGATAATTTTATATAATTGCGCTTTACCTTTCTTAGCTTACATCACTGTTACCGTCCTTGACAAATGTACTCTGAAACTGAGAATGCAGTAAATTAATACTGCACTCTTTCCATCATAGGTCCAGTCCTGTCTTGTTTGGGTCCTCTGGGCTTTATATGTTAGTGGCTCTTCATCACAGCCTAGTCATTGTTACCTAATCATAATGCAACTGCATATGAGTGAAGCCTAGACATTACTAGCTAACCAATGGACAAGGCAGTAAGATGATCCTGGTGACTCAGTGAAAAAGTTAGACAAGAATGAAATATTAGGTCCAGATATCTCAGTTTACTAAAGGCAGTTTTTACAAACAGAGAAGGTACTTAGGTTGGACTGTCCAAGCTTCCCTTGGTCTGATTGCACCAGTATGGCCATCAAACTGAGCAAGAGTCATATAAGAATTAGAGACACTCAAGAAACCATACTCACTAAACACCAATATCCCTGCATGAGAAACTCTGGTCATATTTGCTAAAAGGTATCCTTTGAACTTTCTGCAGCCACCTTAACTTCTATAAGATTTATAGAAGCCTCAGATCTAGTTCTCCATGGGACTTTTTGATCTCAACACCTTTCTGGCAGGCTGGTTAAAAAAAAAAAAAAGGCCCATGGAGTTACAAAATAATAACAATAACATCATGGCGCCTTCTATCATGTATACCAAACTCTGCCCTCTCACATGTAAGATGCAACCAAATTGCTAAATACCTCTGATAGTTGTTTTGCTTAAACTAAAGAATGACCCCCAAAAGTGAAAAGAGTTACAGCCAAAATACAAGAATAATTCTTGCCCAATGCCCATAAATATGAACAAATAAGTTAAACCATTAAATACTTTAAATAAATGAGTTCAACCTGAGTGCGGCACTTCCTTGAACTTATCAGACATTCAGTAATCACTGAGGTTGTAGAAAATTCCAGCTTTGGAGCAATTCCCTGAGGGGAAAAAGGGTAGTATTACATATTTCAATTTTTAAAAAAATAGAATTATTAGTGATAAAATTATGACCTGAAGTAACAGATACCTGTCAAGATTTAGCTGCTTCATTTGTTAGTTTGACCTTCTTATTAAAGATAAAGACAATACAGTGATGCTATATTTTGGCAAGAAACCATTTCATTGCTGATGATTCCCGTAGAAGTGATTATATTACCTTTATATAAAAATTACTATATTTTTTCATTGTCAAGTACTTCCCTGTCAAATTATTCTAAGATTTTAAACTATGATAAAATATCAAAGTCATAAATATATAAGAACACTTAGTGGATTTGAGTTCTTTTTACTTTTACAAATTAAGACATACTTAACTATATACTCAAGAAATACTTTGGATAGTCTCCTCATGTTAAAAAAAATTACAGCTTCTAGGTATGCAGTTCATGAAAACAGAGGAGAAAGACGTCTCTACCAATAGCTCCAACATTTTTTTCCATAATGTATAGGTTACACTCAGATTTATGAATGAACCTGGCTTCTGTTTCTCACAACCTTTCAAACATCAGCTTGAACACTGTTTTAAAATAAGTGGAGACAAATAGTAAAATTCAAAGGAAGAGTCACGAAGCACCTGCCTAGATATTTGGAAACATACCAATTGTATATTCACCAAAGCGTTAAAAGATACTGTGTAGGCCCAGTGCAACTTTATTCTAACATAGCTGAAGTCAGATATTTGTCTTTTACAGACCCAGCCTCTGACATACTAACTTGAGAGTTTCAAACACTGTATTACAGAAAAGGTAAATATATGTATTGCCTAAGAATTAACTAAATGATGGTTTTTCTGCAAACATAACTTTTACTAATGAAGTCCATAATGCCCACTTGTTAGTTATCCTGTTGCCTCACAGGATATTACTTAGCAGTTTAAAACAAGAGTAAACACTTATCTCAGATAGTTTCTATGGTTTGGGAATCTGGCAGAGGCTGAACGGGGTGGTTCTGGCTTGAAATCTCTCATGAGATTATGGTCAAGATGATGTTTGGCCTGCTGTCATCTGCAGGTTTGCCTGGGGCAGGAAGATCTGCTTCCTAAGGCTTGTTCAGATAGCTCTTGGCTGGAGGCCTCAGTTCTTTTCTAGCGTTTAGCAAGAGGACTCAGCTCCTCTATCCCACAAACCTCTTCTCAAGTGACCTCATGCCATGGCAACTAGTTCTCCCAAAGCAAAGCAAGGAGGAAGCCATAACTGTTTAATGACCTAGTCTCCTAAATCTAACACTGTCACATCTATCACATCCTATTTATTAGAGTCCTGAAGTATAGGCCACACTCAAGGACAAAGGAGTTAGACTTCCTTTTCAGCAGAGGAGTACCAAAAATTTTGTGGACATATTTTAAAACCACCATGGTTCACCCTCTGACCACATGTTACTTATATTCCCTTCATGTGTCAACCAAACTCATGCTCTACCAAGAAAAGAAGAAATGTCTCATCCTTTTACAGCTTCAGCTTGAAATCCAGGATGTTGGCATCTAAGTCAAATCCTTATTCAGCTTCCTCAGATGTGGTTCTTTAAGGATAGTTTCTAGAATACAGTTCCTCAGAGTTAGAAGACTTATGAACCACAGAGACAAGTTATCTGCCCCACACGTACCCAAAGCACACACATGCAGCAAGTGCAGGGTAATTACTCCAGATATTCTTGTTCAAAAGGGAGAAAATAAGAGTCAGATGGGAATCACTGGCCCATAGAAATTCTAAAATACAGCCAGGAGAATGTTAGAAGTTCCTTGATTAGAAATTTAGTCCTGTTCCTCCCAGAAATAACTATCCTCTGGCCTCCTCTGGGCTCTTGCTCCTGATCTTTGCATTATTATTCCTTTTCAATGAGAAGTAGACCATGTTTGGAGCTGCACAATGTTCTGAGTGTGAGTCCTGTCAACAGAATTTTGGGGGTCCAAAGGCCTATTCATTTTGTGAGATCTCTCTGCATTTCAGACCAAGCTGGTGGTGTTTCTACCAATATAGTGCTCTTAAAAAAATTTTTTGGTTCTCATATGAATCTTACTAAAGTTTCTTCTATTAGACATGAACTACACCCTCTCTACACTCAGCTTCTGCTGAGACTGCCCTTAAGGATCTTTGAAAAAAAAATCAATGTTTGATTCAATTATTTTCTGAGATAACGTCTTGGATCTTCCTGAGATTTTAATGAAGGGTTTTATAGTTATGCCTTTGGTTTCACCGTCAGACCACAATTTCCCAAAAGTGCCCGGAATGATTTTTGCCCGGAAGTCATTCATTAATTTTAGCATTATTTACCATCAGGAAAGGCTGGGAATCTTTAGGAACAGTAAGTTCCAACTCATTTTTGCTGAACAGCCTTTCCTTTTGCTTATCTCTGTCCTCTCATATTTTGCTATAAAGCAGCAAGAGAAAACCAAGCAGACCCTCTAACTCTCTATCTGAAAGTCTTAGACACACCATTCATTTCATATTTCTTTCCTTCCCACATTACTGCAGGTGGCTGTGAGGCTAAACTTTCTGTCATTACATAACAAGGAACCCTTTTATCCCTAATTTCCAATAACATTTACCTTATTTTCCTGCAAACACACATCTGAATTTCTTCAAGACCTTTCAAGATTTCACAGACATTCTAGCAAAGCCTTTCCAGCTTCTGTCCTCTCTATAGAGGTTCTTGAGTGTCTTCACACATGGCAGTTGGCTTAGCTCAAAGTGACTGATATAGGAGTGAGAGCAAGGAGGAAGCCACAGTGCATTTAATGACCTGGTCTCCAGTCTAATACTGTCACTTCACCATGTTTTTTATCTGTTATAGTCACTAAGTATAGTCTGGAGAACTAGCTCTGCCTTTGGAAAAGAGAAGTAACAAATCATGTGTGGACATATTTTATAACTACCATAGCCTGGATTACAACTTATCACTTTACCCTTCCCCATATATATCACTGGTCACATAGCAAATACTCAGTGTTTTAGCCATTATTTTCACTGAGCTTTCAAAACTAATATGTATCAGTTGAGGTTCTCCAGGAAAACAGAACATATATATAACTAACATGTAATATACTATATAAGTATATAGTATATATATGGGGGGGAGAGATTGATTCATTTTAAGGAATTGGTTCATGTGATTTTGAGAGTGGCAAGCCCCAAATCCATAGGGCAATCCACAAGCTGGCAACTCAGACAAAAGTTGTTATTGCAGTCTTGAGTGTGAAATTTGTAAGCAAGCTAGCAGGCTATAAACTCAGGAAGTATTGCTTGCTTTCTTCCTTTTTTTTTTTTTTTTTTTTTTTTTGGGATTTTACTTATTTATTTAACAGAGAGCGAAAGCACAGAAGAGGAGGGAGAGGGAGAAGTAGACTCCCTCCTGAGCAGGAAGCCCCATACAGGGCTCAATCCCAGGACCCTGGGATCATGACCTGAGCCAAAAGCAGATGCCCAACCGACTGAGCCACCCAGGTGCCCCTCAGGAAGTATTTCTACATAACAGTTTTGAGGCAGAATTCCTTATTGTTCAGGAAACCTCAGTTTTTGCTCTTCAGGCTACAACTAATTGGGTGAGATCCACCTACATTGTCAATAGTAATCTCCTATACTTAAAGTCAACTGCTCGTAAATATTAATTACATCTACACAATACTTTCACAGTAACATCTAGACTAGCATTTGGCCAAACAACTGGCACCATAACCTAACCAAGTTGACACATAAAATTAATCAGATTCCATCTCAAATGTCAGTTCCTCTATGAAGTCTGTAAGATGTGATTCATTCATTCAATTCAATCGAGTGGCATTTAAGTACCTACTTCATGCAAAGTACTGTGCTAAGAGTTAAGTTCAAAGATGAGAAAGCCACAGATGCTGTTTGCATGGAGTCCACAGCCTTAAGGGGGGATTAACATCAGCACTGTCATCATCTCCACAGCCATCAGCATGTCACTCATACTTCTGAGTGTTCTCCATGCCAGGTACTGCTATAACCATTTACGTTTCATTAATGCACCCAGCAGCCCTATGAGATCTTCATATGATAGTGCTTTGCTCAAGTTTAATCAGGTAATCTGCGAGAGTACCAAGATTTAATCCCAGAAGAACCCCTTGCCACAGCAATGGGTTCAAGACTCAGACAGATGTCACAAGAATTCTGAGGAAGGATGCACTGTCGTCTGCCAGGACAACAAACTACTGATGGGAGTGTTTTATCCATTCGCATTTAAATAGAATAATTGATATGACTGGACTTTTATCTGCCATTTATTTGGCTCTTCAGTTTACATGTGCCATATCTTTTGATTCTTCCATTCTTTCTAGGAATCTCACCTGTTGTCTACATGGCTTGGTGGTCATCCAATGAACCTATAAACGTTCCACTCTTTGTTGATCATCTGTATGTGGCTTGGGGAATACATTCAAAGATAGTCAGGTCTGCAATTTCTACTGAGTTTCCCTTTTTGCTGGGCACTTATGATCTCGTCGCATGTACATTGTTTCGGAGTCAGCCAGGAATGGGTGGAGAGCTTATCTCAGCCCTTCTATTGCTCCCTTATTTCTGTGAACTTTTTAGCAGATGGGCTGCTCACTCTAGTTGGAATTGCCATTGGCCTATCAAAGCTATGGTGTTTCTTCTACCACTTGCATCCAAATCCAGTGAAGACACACTGCCTGTCCTTATGATTCTAACACCAATTCCAATGTGTAGGTTTTCCAATAGCACCAAGCATTCTCTGTGACACCAGGTAGGGGTCCTATAATTTAACTCAGTTCTGACACCAGCTACCTGGCAATAGCATTAGATCCCAGAGGTTAAGGAATCAGTCCCACCAGACTGTGCCTAGACTACTTCAGATGCAATCACAAGTCTGGGTTGTTACCTGTGTTCCTGACAGATTGGGTATAATTTGAAGGTCCCCGTGACTGCCACCCCAGTTCAATTTACTGGCTAGAGAGGCTCACACAACTCAGGAAATAGTTTACTGTTTACCAGTTTATTACAAAAGAATATGATAAAGGATACAGATGAACAGACAGATGGAAGAGATTCATGGAGCAAAGTATGTGGGAAGGGACATGGAGCAATGCCTTCCCCAGGGAAATCACTTTCCCAAGAGCTGCCTCCATGAGTCCAGCAACCTAAGAGCTCTCTAAACCCAGGCCCTTTGTTTTTTTATGGAGGCTTTATTACATAGGCAAGATTGATTAAATCACTGGCCATTGGTATTTTAATGCAATCTCCAGCCTCATCTATACTCCCCAGAGGTCAAGGGTCTTAAAGTTCTAACCCTCTAATACCAGGGTTGTTCCTCCTGGCAACCAGCCCCCATCCTTAGGTTATCTAGAAGCTTTCCAAAAGTCACCTCATTAACGTAACCAAAGACACCTTTACTGCTCCCCATCACTTAGGAAATGCCAAGGATTTTGGGAGCTCTGTGCCAGAACAAGAATAAAGACCAAATATATATTTCTTACTTTAAATCACAGTATCGCAGTCTCACCCTTCAAAATTGATTTTGACCTCTCTGGTAGCAGAGCTTCTGATTTTTCTGCCCAGCCCCAAGACTGGTGAAGCTACAATTCTCACTGGCCTCACAGGGTATGGGAGCTGTCCCAGGCAAGAAGATCCATGCTGCTGCCATTTTTATCCAAAGCTTTAGCCATTATTTAAGCATAAACACTTTTTTTTTTTTTTTTTTTTTTAGTTCTAGTTGGTTAACATACAGTGCAATATTAGTTTCAGGTGTATAATATAGTTATTGCCAATTAGTTTCTGGTGTTCTGAAATTGTTTTTTGTGATGATTTTGTCCAGTTTTATACCTGTTTTTTATGGAGAGAGGAATTACAACCTCTTCAAACCACCATTACCCAAAGTCTTAATTTACATATATGTGTGTGTGTATTTTTTGCCTTAGTAAGCCAACACCTGAATGTATATAAAAGTAACCAATGGCCACAGTCGCCAAACTGTGGAAAGAACCAAGATGCCCTTCAACGGATGAATGGATAAGGAAGATGTGGTCCATATACACTATGGAGTATTATGCCTCCATCAGAAAGGATGAATACCCAACTTTTGTAGCAGCATGGACGGGACTAGAAAAGATTATGCTGAGTGAAATAAGTCAAGCAGAGAGTCAATTATCATATGGTTTCACTTATTTGTGGAGCATAACAAATAGCATGGAGGACAAGGGGAGTTAGAGAGGAGAAGGGAGTTGAGGGAAATTGGAAGGGGAGGTGAACCATGAGAGACTATGGATTCTGAAAAACAATCTGAGTGTTTTGAAGGGGTAGGGGGTGGGAGGTTGGGGGAACCAGGTGGTGGGTATTGGAGAGGGCACAGATTGCACAGAGCACTGGGTGTGGTGCAAAAACAATGAATACTGTTATGCTGAAAATAAATTTAAAAAATTAAAAATAAATAAAAAAAGAAAAAAAGAAAAAAAGAAAAAAAAAGTAACCCAAAGTAAATGAAGAAGATACTTATTAATGGTCCATAGTTCGATGTTTATATTGCCAATTTGGTATAATACAGCATTTAAAATTACTTTCAAAACACCATAATTTTAAAATCATATTTTTTTCATTGCAAGCTTCCATACATTTGCTGAAACACTCTTTGAAGGTTTTTATAATACAGAAGATGGCTAATAGACACTGATAATATCCCAAAGGAAGTATATTTTCATAGATTTGCTAGTTAGTCAACTTTAACACTTCTAGCAAGCTGAAATTGCTATTTCCCAGAACAGAGTATATCATAAACCTAGACCCAAGGGAAAAGTATTTAATTCACCATATTGGCTCATGGATCACCCCACTTTCCTTACTCATACAGCTTTAACATTTTATAAAGGTAGTAAAAAACTGTTTGTCCAAATTATTTCAACCTAGACATCTTTTGCTATTCTTCTTTGAAATAGCAGGGTCTTCTCTCAGTTTCTCTAAGCAGAAGACATTTTCCGGGATAAAATATATTTTTAAATCACCCAACGAAAGTTGAAAGGAGTTGGGGGAAAGGATGAAAGAGTTGGCTGTCACAATGCTGCTTTCACTTTTAGGTATATAAATGTATATTTCCATGACATGAACGTACAACAATTAATCTATCCAAACTCTTAACTAATGAGCATTTAAATCATTTTTATTTTTCATTATTATGAACAATGCTATCAATGAACATCCCTAGGAAGGCTCTTAGCATACCAGAGAGAATACATTTTCATGTTACATACCTATAAGGCAAGAGGCTATGAGAATCTTTGCCTTTACTAGATAATTCTGAATTGTGGTGGTTCCAACTTACACGGCATAGCAGCATGTAAGAGTTTTTCACACTTCTAATATTGTCAGATTTTATTAAATTTTACCAACCCTATGGCTATAAGAATGAAATCATCGGGTTGTTTTAATTTGGATTTCCCTATATGCTAATGAAATTGAGCATCTTTTCAAATATTTATTGGTCTTTCTTTTGAGAGAACGATAAAGAAGAAAGAACAGACAGACATGGAAAGTAGGGAGGTGGGAGGCAGGAAAAGAAGAGAAAAATCTTAAAAATATAAGGCAAATTAATGCTTGTTAATTCTGGATGAAAGATGCATGGGTTTTGTTCAGATTTCAGTATGTTTTAAAATAACATCATAATTTCATAAAAAAATTATGTTTTGAACCAAATTAAACTCTGAACTAGTTCTTCACATTTCAGGTATTAAAGCATATGTGGTGGTTTTTGACAATGATCCCACATCACAGATTCAGAAAATTGTAAGCACTTACTCGAAGGCCAGAAATCCTCCTCATGGTAACCTGGCGGTTTGAATCATGGTGTCCAGAAATTTGGTTTGGACCCGGGAACATGAAATCTCGTGTATTTTCATCATATGTAGACAGTGTTTCACCCACTACAAGAAAGATACCCTATGATTCAAATTATAACAAAATATTCTATTTAGAAATAAAATCATCAAGTACAATATATATAGTGCCTGACGCCTTACTGAAATTTCTGCTTCAGGGCCTTTTTTTTTTTTTCTATGAAATAAAAATTAAAAGAAAGTTATGTTAAATGGATTCCTTACTCAGAAATGTAGTACATATTACTACTTCTCCCTCCCCCTTTTATAGAAGGGAGATATTCATGTAAATTTTGTGAGTACCTATGTGTTTCCAGAGGAAAAAAGTCCTTGTAAACATATCAAGTTGGTATGACATTTACAAATCTAAAATGTAATTACCAGCTCCATAAATTTTTTCTATCTTCCATTCTTTTCTAATTGCCCTTATAAGGCACTAGGTTACATGCTGGGAAAAAATGAAGGTATTTTCTAGAATCTGTGGTTACACAAATTAGGTATATATGTAATAATCAAAATCTTTAAGGTTACTAAATTTCAGTAACACATAACTCCATTTTTCACATAGAATAATTATTTAAGATAGAATTCTCCTAAAAATCACAAAAGTAAATAACAGAAATCAAGCTATCCTCCATATATTAATTTTAATTTTACCTACCCTGGAAATTTGTAATGTTTACTAAATAGTTAAGGTTTTATTCCACCCCCCCTTCCCAGTAACACTCAACACACAAAAACAAAGATAATTACTTTATAAGCAAAAAAATATAGTTTAAGGAAAATCACAAAAACGCAAAGTCAGTTTTTATGAATGGCACAAAATATGCTAGGAGAATAGCATACAATTTTCCACTTTTCTTTATTATTATTTATTCAACTTAGAACAATATAGTCAAACACTATGTCAATCTTTATGTATTTATGTATTTGTACATAGTGGACCAATACGAGAAACTCAACATTGTTCTTAATTTGGGAAGAAGGGAAAAATATGTATTTTTTAAAAGCATTCTTTGACATGGGTTTGCATATCAATTACCTTATCAAAATATAATACAGTACCTGGTGGAACTAGTTGAATCAACTCAAACAATGCTGTATCATCTGAAAGTTTAAAGAAAAATTTCCTTAAACAAATTAACAATAAACAAAAATTAGTTACTTTTATATCATAAAAGTATCTAAAAGTCAAAATAATTGCTGTTTATATATGCTTATATATGTTTATTTCTTAGTTTATGTATATATCTTAGCACATGTTTATGTTTATGTATGTTTATATCTTAGTATACTATGTATATTTTTTGGTTGCTTTGTCTCTTAGGGTTTTATTAATCAATAGTAGAGATTATCCCTTGATCTCTCTGGGGTTTTTTTCTGATTTTTTTTCTTTTAAGACTATCTTTTTAGAGCAGTTTCAGGTTTACAACAAAATTGAGAGGAAAATACAGAGATTTCCCACATATCCCTGTCCCCACACAGGCAGAGCCTCCCCACCATCAACAGCACTCAAAGGAATGGCACATTTTTTTTTACTAAGGATAAGCCGCCATAGGCACATCATAATCACCCAAAGTCCATGGCTTACCTTGGGGCTCACTCTCTGGGTTTAGACAAATAAATGCATAATGACATATTCCACCATTACAGTATCATTCATAGTATTTTCACCTTCCTGGCTTTCCTCTATGCTTTGCCTAGTCATCTCTCTCCTCCACTTCAATTTGCTCCCACGAGCAGCCACTGATATTCTTACTGTTCCCATAGCTTTGCCTTTTCTAGAAGTCATATTATAATCACACAGTATTCAGGTTTTTCACACTGGCTTCTTTCACTCAATAACATGCATTTAAGTGTCCTTCATGTTGTTCATGGCTTGACAGTTCACTTCTTATAAGTGCTGAATAATAATCATTGTCTGGATGTACCACATTTTATTAATCCATTCACCTTCTATGGGCATCTTGGTTGCTTCCAAGTTTTGGTAGTTATAACCGCTGCTCTAAACACCCTTGTTCAGGTTTTTATGTGGACATAAGTTTTTAACTCCTTTGGGTAAATACAAAAAGGGTAGTTGCTGGTTTAAATGTTAAGAGTATGTTTAGTTTTGTAATAAGCCACCAGACAGTCTCCAAATTGCTGTTCCATTATGAATTCCTACCCGCAATATATAAGAATATATAAGAGGAATTCTTGTTGTTCAATATCTTCATCAACATTTGGTGGTGTCAGTATTTTGAATTTTGACCATTCTAGTAATGTGGTGTTATCTCGTTTTAATTTGGATTTCCCCAGAGACATATGGTATGGAGCATCTTTTCATATGCTTATTTGCTATCTTTATATCTTCTTTGATGAAGTATCTTTTAAGGTCTTTGGCCATTTTTAAAAATAATGTTGCTTGTTATTTTATTATTGAGTTTTAAAAGTTCTTTGTATATTTTGGATAAATGTCCTTTATCAATATTTTATAAATATTTTCTCCTAATCTGTGGTTTATCTTTTAATTCTCTTGATATTGTCTTTCTCAGAGTAGAAATTTTTAATTTAAATGAAATCCAGCTTATCGATTATTTCTTTCATTGATGATATCTTTGGTGTTGCCCCTAAAAGGGCATTGTTGTACTCAAGGTCATCTAGGTTTCTTCCTATGTCATCTTCTAACAGTTTTATGGTTTTGTATTTACAATTAGGTCTATGATCCATTTTGAGTTAATTTTTGTTAAGGGTGTATTGTCTGTATCTAGATTCCTTTTGTCGCATTTGGATGCCTAAGTGTTCTAGCAACAAAAACCATCTTTGTTCCTCTGTATTGCCTTTGCTCTTTTATCAAAGTCAGTTGATTATATTTTGGGGGGGGTTCTATTTCTGGGCTCTCTATATATCTTTATGAATATAAATTATATCTTATTTCTTAAGCAGTGCTGTGAGGACAACAGGGTATATTATATACCTCCTTATATTTTTAATATGCCTGAAGTATTTTATAATACATTTATAAAAATAAGAATAAAAGAGGAACTGTGTCTTGTCTCCCCTTCCAGGACCCATGAAAAAGGCATAATCTCTTTCTTTCTTTAAATTCTGCCATTATCATCCAAGGAAAGTCTCAATCATTTAACCCAATACCAGTGTGTCCTATTTATGAAGAAATATTAAATAGTTTCCATGGGTTATAATTTGGAATAAGTTAAAAAAAACCTGATACGGCTCTTTTCCTCAAGAACTTTACATTGCATTGAAAATATAAACATTAAAGGAAATAAACACACAAATAAATTATAACTACAAGCCACATGTACAATGAAGGCACTACAGGTAGTGCTATAAAAGACTATACTAACAAGTCCTAATCTATTCCAGGAGTCAGAGAAGCCTGAAGAAGAGCTCTTTAGGATCTGATCTACAGCATGAACTGGTGTAAACTGGGGGACTAAGGAGGTAGAGTTTTTTAAGTAGGAGGAATAGGATGTTCAAAAGCTTTAAGCAGAACATAGCAAGGTAATCTGAGAGATCAGGTGTTTGAAAAATAACCCTTCTGCAAAAATCAACTTAAAAAGGTAAACAATGGGGCGCCTGGGTGGCTCAGTTGGTTGGGCCACTACTTTCGGCTCCGGTCATGGTCCCGGAGTCCCGGGATCAAGTCCCGCATCGGGCTCCCAGTTCCGCGGGGAGTCTGCTTCTCCCTCTGATCTTCGCCCCTCTCATGCTCTCTCTCATTCTGTCTCTCTCTGAAATAAATAAATAAAATCTTAAAAAAAAAAAGGTAAACAATGAAAGCATGAAAGACATAAAAAGGTAGTAAAAAAATAATGTCTGAAACTCAATAGAAGAAGGAAACAGAGAAATAATTTGAGGTATTTGAGGCTGCTTTTCTTTTTGGATATCTGACAGTCCCGACAGAGGTAGCTTAGAGGCTGAGAAGCTGAACATAGCTTTTGATAAATTCATGAAGTAAAGGATGAAAAATTGGAGTATCATGCCCTTCATGCCCTTGGAAAGAGGCAGGAGGGGAGGTATGCTGGTAAGAGATGATGGCCTAATAAACTGGCTAGGCTGTAAGATTAGATCTTGAAAAGATAAACTACAAGGGTAAAGAGTAAACTAAAAATAGATAGCCAACACTATATACTGAATGCTTGTATTCTCCCCAAAATTAATATGTTGAAATCTTAGTCCTCAATGTGCTTTCAGAGTTGGGGCCTTTGGGAGGTAGGGCAAATCCTCATAATGAGATTTTTAAAAGAGACCCCAGAGAGTTTCCTTTCTTATTCTGTCACATGAGGATACAGAGAGAAGATGGCTATCTACAAACAGAGAGGGAACTCTCACCAAACACCAAATCTGGTCACCTTGATCTGAGACTTCCCAGCCTCCAGAACTGTAAGAAAAAAACTTTTATAGTTTATGAGCCACCTAGTCTGTTGCTATTTTGCTATAGGTTGCTATGAGCCACCTAGTTGCTATTTTGCTATAGCAACCCAAATGAACTAAGACAGCCAACTAGGAACTAAGGGCTAAATTCGAATTATCCCAAATCCTATCCAAATTAAGGTGGTCCAGAATTGTTAATGCCCCCTAGATATCCGCCAAATCCCAATCATAAATCTTTTCTAAAAGAAAATACTATCATCTACGTTTTTAAATTATTTCAAAAATTTTTACATTTGAAGTTTGACAATCAATGAAAACTGACCAAGTATACAGGAAAAATGAAAATTGGGATAGAAAAACAAGAAAAGTAACAGACAACAAAAACAGGTCAACAAGAGATCCAGAAAAATTAGTAATCAGACTGGGACTTAAAATATGCTTAATACGTTTAATAAAATAAAATGCAAGGTTGAGAATGTTAGTTGAGAACTAGAAACTATTATAAAGAACCACAGGGAAATTTTTTAATTGAAAAATACAACAAGAACAAAAAAACCCATAACAGGTAGATTTATCAGATTATAAATGACCCTGGAGAGCTCAACAGAATTAGAAGACACAAGTACCTTGAGTAAAGCACAGAAAGCCAAAAGGATGGAGAACATAAAAAAGGGGAAAAATGGATACAGTAAGAGGTCTGACAATGTGTAACTGGATTTGTAAAAGGAAAGAAGAGAAAGGGACAAAAGCAATATTTGAAAGGTTAATGCCGGAGAATTTATTTGAAGAAAGATATCAAGATACAAACACCGAGCGGAATATATTTTAAAATATACACACACATACATGAACAAATATATGCAGAGTTGGGCCAATCAAAGTAAAACTACAGGAAAAAAAGACATAAGAGAAGATATTAAAAGTAGCCAGTGGACAATGACAGAATACCTTTAACAAAGTAACAATAAAATTGACAGATGATTTTTCAACAAAAACTTAGGGAATGAAATCAGTATGTTCTAAGAGCTAGGAGGCAATAATTCCAAGTTCAGCAAAACTACCCTTCAAAAATTAAGAAAAAATAAAGACATTTCAAATTAAAAAAAAAAAAAAAGATAATCCATCACCAAAAGACCACTGAGAAAGGAACTGTGAAAGAATTTTCTTCAGAAAAAAGCACTAAACTGAGAACAAAGCTCAAAAACAAAGGAAATAAAGAACAACCAAAAAGGTAAAATACGGTGGTAAAGTGAAAAGATGATGCTGATACAATAATAATAATAATATTTTGTGTAGTTTAACTGCATACTAATCTAAAATGCAGGACAAAAAAACACATAAAATCTAGAAGGGACATATATGAAGTCAAGTAGCTTTAAGCTTCTCCACTCCTAGAAAAGGTAAAAATAAAAATAAAAATATATATATTAGGGTTTGATAAGTGAAGCATGCATTCTGCAATCTGTACGGTAACCACTGAAAAAAATAAAATAGTAAAGAACATGCACTTCCAAGTTAATGAAAGAGCAGAAATGAAAGAGCAGAAAATAGAAGAAAAAAAGAACAATAAAAATCAATAATCAGAACAAATAAAAAGTAAATATTATGGTAGATTTAAACCAAAATATATCAGTAAATACATTTTTTATGTAAACTTTTTATTTTGAGATGAAGATTCATATGCAGTAAGAAGCAAGACAGAAAGACTACATATACTTTTTACCCATTTT